ACCCCAAGGCACACAGCGAATGCTCCGATGTGTTTTTGTCCAACAGAACTTTCTCCAATGATCAAAATGTTTTGTATCTGTGCTGTCCAGTAGAATCACATGTGGCACTGAGCACACTTGACATGTGGTTGGTTTGACTAGGGATTGAATTTTTAGTTTTATTTAAATCAAATCTTGAGAGTTCCCTGATGGACTAGTGGTTAGGATACCAGGCTTTCACTGCTGTGGCCCAGGTTCAATCCCTGGTTGGGGAACTGAGATTCCACAAGCCATGTGGCACAGCTAAAAAAACAATAATAAAAAATTAAATCTAAATAACCACATGTGGTTAGTGACTCCCATGTTGGCTATACAGCTCTAGATGGCAAGAAAGGCTGAAAACTACATTATCTACATTAGCTCATAAATTCCTTGCAATGATTTAAAAGAATCTGCACTTCAAAAAGCTTGCACTTACACATTCCAAATCACAAGGGTGGCAAAAACTTAGAAAAGGTCTTTTCCATGGACTCAAAGAAGGATCACATTACAGTGGAGCACATCAGTCCTTGGGATTTATTCTGTCAGCCCCATTCTAGTGGAAATAAAACTGAGTAACAATACTGAAGCAGAAACAATATAACTTGGGCATATAATATAAATGCTATTAACCTTAAATTCAGCTTTATTCTGTGCACTTATGCTAGAAAAGAAAACACAAACTCTCCTTACCCTTTTCCTGTTAGGTTTAAAAATTCATTTACATAATACTGAGGCACCTAGTACAGAGATGGACATCTTGTAGGAAAGATCAGTATGTAAAAAAATATATCCATCCATCCCAACCATTCACCTATCCCTCCAATCATCTGTCTATCCATCTGCCTATCCACTCATCTGCCCATCCATCTGTCTTTCCATCCATCCATCCATCTACCCATCTACCCACTGTATCCCTTTGTGATTTCCTGATTCACAAAGAATAGATTTTCTCTCATTTGCCCAAATAACGAGAGCCTAATAGAGAGAAATAGAGAAGAAATAGGTGATGGAGTGACATGTTTTTAAGAGTATGCTTTCAGATGATTAATCATACTTAACACTCTTAATAGTATGTTGTTTACAAAGTCAAAGTAATGAATATATGAGAGACTAAAAAATGACAAATGACTAATGCTTCAAAACAGTAAGATGAAAGGCATCATGATAATTCATGTCTCAGATAATAAGCCTCATGTTTAGAAGAGGGTCAAAAATCTGGGCTAGAACAGTCCAACTTAGGGCTTTAAGATTCAGGCTTGAGCCAGAATCTGAGTGATGGGCAAGATGACAGATAAAAATCATGATTAAAATTTGGAAGGACCTTAGAAATAATCTAGCTCAAGCCTATTATACTAGAGATGATCCAACTAAGGTCAGAGAGTTAAGGGACTTGGTCCAATTCCTTTATATGGGTAGTAATGGTAGGAAACGAAAATGTAGGGCTCTTGATGCCTATTCCACTTTCATGCATCACATGAGATGGGGAGAAGGGTCTTCTAATTAGGAAAGGAGAAAGCATTCTGGAGAATGGGAATGATACAGCATGAGCAAGGAAACAGAGCCAGGAACCTGTCAGTGTAACGACCATGTATGAGGATGTCAACGTATGTGAGGAGGGGAAGACAGCATGGTGGGGGAGCAGGACCAGTAGGGAAGGGGCTTGAATGTAAATCTGCAGTTGGTCAGTGGTGTGAAACGCAGAATCCTGGGACTGCCTTGAAGTCTCCCTTTCATGCCCCAGTATAAACGTTTCCAGAAAAAATGCTTTGCTTTTCATATAAACAAAGACAAATTCACCTGGGGAGGTAAAGCTGAAGAAGGGAGGCTGGGATGAGTACTTGCATATCTGGTCAACCCAAAGTGGGCTGATAAGCATCCATGCTGAGTCAGGAGATTTATGATGGGAACTAAGAATCTGCATATTTTTAAGCTCCCAGTGACTGCAGCGATTACCCAGTTTGGAGGGTCTTCTGGTTCACCCTTTTACCAATCCATCAGATACAGACTACCACTTTGGAAAACTCTTTGACAATATTTACGAAATACCTGCCCCCTATGATCCAGCAATTCCTCTCTCAGGCATATATTCACTTTTGTTGCCCAACAGGCATGAATAATACTCAGAGCAGGTTATTATCAACCCCGAACTGGAAACAATCCAATATCCATCAGTATTAAAATGAATAAATTAACTGAGGTATATTCATACAATGGAACACTACACAACAATTGAAAAGAATAAACCATTGCTATCTGCACCAACGTGGATGACTATTCCTGACATAATGATAAGCATTAAGAAGTATGATTCTATTTACATAAGATTAAAGAACTGGCAAAAATAATACATGGTAATTGAACTCAGAATAATGATTGCCTGTCTTCGAGGGTGAGGATTAACTGTAAAGGGACATAAAAGAAACTCCTAGGGTGCTGGAATTGTTCTATATCTCTATATGGGTGGTGGTTATATTGTTATATAGAATATATGAAAAATATTGAGCTCTATACTTGCTCATTTTACTGTATAGATTAACTTTGTTGACAAGAAAAAATATAGATATTGTGTGTGTATGTATATTTCCTTGCCAACCTTAAGAGGTTGTTATAAAACTCCAATAGCTTTTCTTTTTTATTTTTTTATTGGAGTATAATTACTTTACAATGCTATATTAGTTTCTGCTGTACAATGAAGTGAATCAGCTATATGTATACATATATTCCCTCTTTGTTGGACCTCCCTCCTTCCCCACCCTTCCAGGTTATCACAGAGTACTGAGCTGAGCTTCTTCTGCTTTATAGCAGGTTCCTACTACCTATCTGTTATACACATGGTAGTGCATATATGTCACTCCTATTTTCCCAATTCATCCCACGGTCCCCTTTCCCACCCTGTGTCCACATGTCCATTCTATGTCTCTGTCTCTATTCCTGCCCTGGAGATAGGTTCATCTGTACCATTTTTCTAGATTCCATATGTATATGTTAAAGATGAGATACATAGATAAGTACAGTCATACATTTTAAGTAGCTCAGTACTGATTCTTGTTGAAGTTGGTCATAAGCACTACTTGGGATATAGGTAATCTGTCAGTTTTTTTAAGCCTTAGCAAAACACAAAAAGTTACTTATATGTAAGCTTACAAGTAATTTCTGAATTTGGAAAAGACATGCAGTAACTGTAAACTTAATGGTGCAGCCCAGCTTTTGAGAGAGCCTTTCTGCTGATGGTGAATTTGGTCTGCTTTGAAACCCTGGAGAAGAGTTCCCTGCAGCTGTATCTTTTGTTGCCCGCCCTCACTTTCCTCTCCCCCGATTCCCGATTCCACCCTAGGAAGACAGGAAACACTATCTGTAGCACTGCATTCACCAACCCAGAAACCAAAATCTCATCTCACTTCCCATCATGAAAATGATCGTCATCCTGAGGTACCGTTGGCCACTGGTAACAAGCCACTGACCTGATGCCACTCCACAGTTTGCCTTCCCTGGCCCAACAGTGAGACTGCCTGTGGTCATGAGGCCCTGGTGGGCACATGTTCAGGGTTACAGCAAGCTGAGGATGAGTGGTGGGAAGTGAAAAACCTTGTCCAGTGGGTGCCATGTGTAAACCTCATTCCTGGGCTATTGTTTTGCAGTCTGTGAAAAAGTTGTGTGTCCTGAGCAGTGTACTTCAGGCAGCTAAGTATAACCACATGTCTACAAATACTGATAACGCTATCTTTATTTGTCCATTACTTCTCAAAGCCAGATCACCTGGGGACTGTTTGTTCCTCTACAAAGTGAGAATCTAGCACCATATGTATTAAAATGTGGGACATTTTCTTCAGGGTCTACATTTTCAAGAGCTGCTTCTATGCCTTTCTCGGTACACTCTTACATCCCTATGTATCTTTAACACCACAACATACAGTAGACTTTAAAATAAAAATTGATTATTTCTGGTTCCTTGCACCAGTTTTTCTTATTTTGACCATATGGTCAACTATGTGTCTCGAGCCTACCCATTACTGTGTCCAAGTTCTAGAGCCCAGAAGTATATAAGATGTGCTCAGCAATTTATGTGAACCTGCAGATATTTTCTGACTGTTTATTTCAAGCAAGGGTTTTTTATGTGACAGACATCTGATAAATGCTTAAAGAATGAATATGAATGCTTAAGAATGGATAAATGTGAATTTTTAAGCACTATGTTCACACAAGAAATGCAGTTCATAAGTATGTATATTTCCCAGAATAAAACATTGTACTGGATTCCCTACCCACTCCCCCGCCAAAAAAAAAGCCCTAAAGGTATTACATATGGAAGTATGTCAATAAATATACTAAAATCTGAAATCAACTTTGAATGGAGCTTTCTCATGAAAAAAAAAAAATCCTAATAATGCTTGATTTCACTTAAGAGATATTTAGAAAAACCAGCACACAAACTGTTCAGTTCCAGAGAACCAAATACAACATCAGCTGTGAGAAACATTAAACTGTCTGAAGAGAATGGATTTCAAGGAAATGCTGCTTATTTTCTCCTCTTGGTTATTTCTGAAAGAACATTTAATGAGGAAATGCAGTGGGACTTTTCTGTTCTTTGAAGACTTTGCTTCCAAGAAACATTTGCCTGGGGTTTAAACTCTATTAGGTGTGATTTTTTTTTTTTCTTCTCACCAGTCTATTAATTTTGCAGGGAACAAGAAGTGAGGAAGAGGCAAGGCTAAATCAATTGTCTCCAGAAAATGCACCTCAATCTTATTCTCAGAGACTTTTTTCCCCCTTTTCCCCCACCACGCACTGACTTTTCTTTCTTAAACTAATAATATCAAACTCAAGAAGTAAGCCCTAGCATAGAAACATGCCCGGAAGGGAACTGGAGTTTGAGAAGAACTTCCCTGTGCACAAACAGCCCCATCTCTCCCAATGTGGTAGCTCATCTACTGAGGCATCTACCGCCCTTGGAGAGAATGTCACTGTCCTCCAGGACTTACCTGTCTGCCGAGAGAGCCGTGAGTGTGAAGACAGACACCCCTACCGAGGTAAGCTGGATAAAGGGGATCAGTTTGCAGCCAATCCTGCCAAACAGCCATTTGTCAGCCAGGTACCTGCTGGCATCCACGGGCGCACAGGTTACCAGGAGGAGCAGGTCTCCCAAAGCCAGGCTGGAGATAAACAGGTTCGGCACGTTTCGCATGGACTTCACAGTACAGAAGATCTTGATCAGGGTGATGTTGCCAACGAGGCCTATCAGAATGATGACTCCATAAACTGCAGGGATGACATAGAGGATCCCTGGGTGGAACCAGTCGTCATTCATGGGGAGCTCCACACTATGATTAGAAATGTTGCAGTGCACGAAACGGTCCACTTCCAAGTTCAGAAGCAAACAGTCATTCAGAGCCATCCTCTGGATTCCTTCCCACCTAAAAAAGTGCCGTGAGATGCTGTTTCTTAACTTTTGACTTTGCAATTGGGTAAAGATGAGGACAGAATCTATGCTGGGCTCTTTATCTTCTTGAATAAAAATATAGATACTGTGGCATTCAAAACTGTCTGGCACTATTTTGATGCTGGTGCTGCTCTGCTCTTTACATGACCAGTATACTACATCTCTAAATTGAGTAAGTTAACAGCAAAACAAACACAAAAACTCAGCCCCCAAAAGGCTTAGAATCAGACCCACTCTGTACCAACACCTTTTACCTCCAGTCTAGTCCGAGTCTCCCTGCTGCAGTTTACTAAGAACTTTGGGCCTGCTATTTTCACACGGCATTTGCTGTCTTTCCTGATATTTAGAACCTGAAGGTTTAAAGTGGGTAGAAAAAAACTGCACTGAAAAAGCCTCAAATGCTATAGGCGGGAATGCTTTATACGTCACCAACTTCACCAGCAAACGGCAGCTCTGCTGAGCAGAGGCTCTGAAGAGGAACCAGGGCTACTTACAGACAGACAATGCCAGCCCCCTGCTGGACACTTCAATCACTGCCCAGCTGCCTGCTCTGCCCAGAGGAGACTTGCACAGCAGTCTGCGGATCCTAGTCGACAACTTTAGCAGGTAAATTTGGGCTTCTCTTTTCAGACACAGCACCTCTGGTAGGTATTTCCTAAGTGTTGCCAGCACTCTGCAAAGCACTGGAAATCCTGATACTAGAAAGATTTTCCATATCCAGATTCACAGCCCATTCTCTCATCTTTTCCAATACATTAGAGTATAACATGTTAAGCTTGCTATAAAATGAGGTCTGTCCCTGAATCAAACTGCACACAGATGCGCAGGGAGTCCACATGAGAGTGGTCCTATGCAGCCTTCCTGCTGCCTATTTGAACGGGGATCGTTTCTGAGGGCAAACGCACAGGACTCCTGCCTTAAACCTTCAGCACCTGACATCTGGGAAAAGTAGAAAGCAGAACACACACATGCTCTGTCCTGTAGATTGGCCAGGACATTCCTGTTCCCTTTACCAGAGAGAAAAAAAAATCAAAAGCCAGCTATTTTTTTAACTCTCACAGATAAGTCTTTTCCAGAAGAATGGGTATTTTCTCATTGGATCTAAAAAATACATGAATTGGCATTCTGATGCAGCTATTTGCAATTTTTAATTAATGTTTGCTGCATTTTATAGCAAATTTCCTCATAAGCTCTGAGTGGGAAATGAACTGTGAAAGAGTTACAGATAACATACTGAGGATTGGAGGAGTGGAAAGAATAACTTAGAGTTAACATGTGCCAGGAAAGACTTTATTGAGGAGGTACTATTAGATGTCAACTTTGATCTTTAGCAACAGTGTATAAATATATTACAAGGGTGAATCTTTAAGACTTACGTGCAGCCAGCCTTTCCAGATACATCACAGGAAGCCAGTTACTAGCAGGCACTGTCACCAAAAGTTTGGTTTTTTAGGATTCATAAGGAATAAAGAAGCTTGCACTCATCACCATGCCGGGGCCCACTAAGAAAGCCTCCAAGTGTGTTGTCATGGAAATTTCCAAAGACAGGTTACAAAACCAAGGTGGCTGCCATGTTTCTTCTATAAACCCAAGGGCTTTTGCTCCTCTCAGCCAGTAGTAGAATCTGATGCTACATGCCCAGAGTGTGGAGAGCTTCTCAGTGGAGATCAATAGCACCAGTAATCAGTCAACAACCATGAGCCTAATGGTGTTGATGAGCTTTTGGCAACAGAGGTTAATAATGCTATACATGGACTCTGTGCTTAAGTCCTGGCTCCTTCACTCATTACCTTGGCAAGTTAGACTAGTCACTCGGTGTCTTAAGCGTCTCTTAAGTTTCTCATTTGTAAAGTGGGGATAATTTGTGAAGTTAAATGAAATTACCCATGTTAAGACTTCATAGAATTTGGCACATAGTAAGTGCTCAAGTAATATCAGCTGCTATTATTATAACTGTTATTATCACTGTGATTGAAAGAGACTGTTTTTGTGATTTTACTTTGGAAAAGCCCAATAAAGTCAGAATAGCAACTGACCTCAAGATCAATAGGCAAAAGGTCCTATCATACATATAGGTCAGCTAGTCCTCCATTTACTTGAAAGACATCAAACATTTGTCAGTTTCCAGGCACTGTGTAAGAGCTAAGGGATTCAGAAAATAAGATGAAGATACATGTTATTATGGGTTTCCCAGATGGTTCAGTGGTAAAGAATCCACCTGTAATGCAGGAGACATGGGTAGACTCGGGTTCGATCCCTGGGTCGGGAAGATCCCCTAGAGAAGGGAATGGCTATTCACTCCAGTATTCTTGCCTGGAGAATCCCATGGATGGAGGAGCCTGGCGGGCTGCGGTCCATGGGGTCGCACAGTCAGACATGACTAAGTGACTGAGCACATATGCACATGTTATTGTAAGATCCGTCATGATCCCAATTACTCAAGCTTAGACTTAGTTTCAAAAAATAACTCAAGAAGGGTTTTCACGTAGATACTGCAAATGCTTCTTTTCATTCTATACCATATTAACAATTCTGCTTCTTGAAGCTCCTGTGGTGGCTTTCTTCTCTGATCTTTACCTTTCTTCCTCTCAATGACAATGATTGCTTCTGGCGTTGTTTTTGTTCATTACTAGAGGGACAACCTTGTAGGAACAGCCTTGTAGGAACTATGGCAAAACTCAGAGAAATTCACCACTCTTGCACTAGAAGAATTGGTGAGGCATTGAACTGCCTGGGCTCATCCTGAGGATTTCGAAACAAAGGTACCAATAGCCAGAACCTGGCTATATTCTTATATTAAACTTGGGCATCTTTGAGCCTTTTAACCTTCTGAAAGTTAAAAGCTGAGTATTGTTTAAATAGAAATAAACTCCGGCTTTTTAAAAAAAAAATCACAACATTTAGGCCCCATCCCCTCCCTAGAATAAAGCAACTACCTTTTCTCCAGAGAAAGTGACATTTGATCTTAAAGGTTAAGTGTCTGGCAGAATCCTTTGAACAGAGAAAACAGTATGCACCTAGGATGGAGGCTTAAAGGAAAGAACGTGGCACTGAGCAGGGGACAACTCCAAGTGCCTGAAGGCCATCCAGATTGGAAGAGGGGGTGGGGAAAGAGCAGGGTGAAAAGCACCCTGGGGCAGGTTTGAGTGACATTGTGATGGATCTTGGATTCTTTGTAAGAAGCTTGGTCTGAAAGGCATATTTTGTTCACAAAGAAGACCCCTGGATGTTGTTGTCTCCTTTGATGTCTTTAGACATCCCATATGCTGGGCCGACCTCACCTCTTAAATCCAACTGGGTCCTTAGTGTTTCTTCCCATATAAGCTTATAGTTAGCAGTGATTTCTCAAGGCTGCTCTTGGTGTTGAGTGTTCCACAACATGATAGACTGTTCTGGTAGTATTTCAGAAGTGAAGATATATTAAAGTTCAACACCTAATATTTTCTGGGAGCAAGGTTGTTTTAAAAAGCTCATTAGAAAATTTTGATGTCATTTCAACTAATTAGCTATAATGACTCTCCATCCTGACCATTATGTGTCACCTTCTGGCAGATCACCAAACATACTTAAAAATTTGCTTAGTTTTTTATTTAATGGTGAGCATGAGATGCCTATGACTTATGAAAATGAGACAGAACAAACATAATACAAAGTCCCCATCCTCAGGGACTCCACTTTCTGAATAGGAGTGTGACTCAGCGTCCTTTCTTATGTGTTGGAGCAGGAGTATCACTTCTATTTCAGGCTAAAGAGTCACATTTTCCATTCTTCCAGAAAACTGGATTTTTTTTTTTTAAATATGGGGAAGAGGCACAGTCCCTTGGTAGAATTTGGTAGGATGGGTGGATTCAATGGGACCAAAGAGAGTAGAGACAAAGTCTCTTTCCACCAGCTATGTGCACACCACTGCATCTTCCAATAGCTGGTATTCTTGGTAGACTGACAATGAATGTACACAGAAAAGGTAAGTTAATTATAGAGTGGGTAGAACTTGTAGGTGGAACCCAAGTAAAGAGAAAGGGATGCTTTGGGTTTGAGAGAGAGTCTGTCTGGAACAAAGCTGTGCAGGGGAGTAATAAATGAGAAAAAGGAGATTGGATCTGCTGGGGAAGACTTGACATTTTAGGTTTCCAGTTGGACTTTAGGCTATAAAACACTGGTTCTTTTATTTAAGAAAAATTTCATCAAGGTTACCTGGAGTGATTCTTAAAAATGCAGATTCTGAGGCCATACCTCAGACCCACTGAATCAGAGATCCAGGGATGGAACCCAAGAATCACTATTTTTCATGAGGTCCCAGAGGGACTGCAACTCTCTGCTATCCCAGAGATCATGGCAACATGACAGTCCTTGTGCCTTCCCTCTGTGGATGGAGAGGCTGAGCAAGGAAGCAGATTTAGGAGATTGTTATTACAGGCCCTCGATACCCAAAGTATGGGCCTTGAGTCAGCAGCCTAGGTATCACCATAGAGCTTATGAGAAATGCAGAAATTCAGGTACTACCCCAGATTTCCTTAATCATAATCTGCATTTAAAACATGTATTTGTATATTTGGCTGCACTGGTCTTAGTTGGCACATGGTATCTTTAGTTGCAGCATGCAAACTTCTTAGTTAAAGCATGTGGGATCTAGTTCTCTGAGCAGGGATTGAATCCAGGTCTCCTGCATTGGGAGCTCAGAGTCTTAGCCAATGGACCACCAGGGAAGTCCCCATATTTTGCATTTTAAGAAGCTCCCCAAGGACTCATATGCACGCTAAAGTCTGAAAAGTGTTGATCTAGTGGTTAGGGAGATCTGGCAGAAAAGGTTAAGAAACCAGGGCAGGAAGGGGGAACAGATAGGAAACAGGAATTTCAAGTTCAGAATGAAACCAACAAGTGGACCAACTGGAAGCTGAATGAAGAATCCCTGATTTGGGGTTGTTGATATCTCTGATAAGGCTAGGAACTGTCCC